AAATAAAAAAATTACTTATATTATTCTAAAATAAAAGAAATAAGAACAATATAGACAAATATGTATTTTCCTAAAATTCTTAATCTCTAGGAGATTGTATTGCTTACAAACCTTGGATGTTTGTAGGCCTCTCGTCTCTTGTATAATCAGTGCCTAAATAATGCCCTTATGTACTTAAAACAATAAAAAAAAATCAAAAAGCATTATTTTCATTAATCTTTTCCATTTTTAAATACATATATATGTTATATATGTGATGTTTAATCGGATGAAATAGTTATTATTTGGTCATTGATAAAATAAAGTGAAAAAAAAAATTGTTAAGTATAACTATTAATTAAGAGAGAATAATTAATACATGACAAAATTCTTGTTAGTAATTACCAATGTTAGAAGTATATATATTTTATCCTATATTATATTTATGATTTGTTAAGGGCACAGCTTAAATTTTATTAATTGCAGAATCTATAATTAATTTTATACAAATTTTTATATCAGATTCATAATTTTTTTTATAGATTTTGAGTATAAATATTATATTTTTTTTTCAATTTTACATTTTATATTTTATTTTAATTGAATTTGGTATAAAAACTTACGTAGAATTAATCAAAGATATTGTTTGTAATGAAGTTAGAAGATTCCTTATATTTATATACATTAGGTCTTGCCTCCCTAGTTTAACCTTAATTTCCAATTCCTATAAGGGAATTTTCTCGTGAAAAAAATAATCTTTAACAACCAAACACTTATATTGTTTCGTGTTGTTCTTTTAACAACATATTTTAATTGTTTTGATGATAATGGTAAATACCCAAAAAAATTATGAATAACTAATCTATTAATTAAAAATGAATAAATATCAACACAAAATCATAAATGTTTTACTTTCTACACGTTAATCTTACTTTTCACATGTTAATAGTCATTAACATGTGTGGAAAATAGAAAATTTTGTAAAATGCATCGTAAGAATGGTCAATCCATTTATCATCCAAAAGAACAAAAAAATAAAAAATAAAAGGAAAAATTGAAACACTTTCCTTTTTCTTTATATCCTTTTCCATCATTTGCTTTTCCTTTTCTATAATGTGTGTGTGAATGATTTGAATTTGGGAGTATAATAAGAATCTCTTTTATTAGAACCTTTGGTTTGCTTTTTAATTCTTTTTTTCATTGATATTGTATAGGCTTGGATTTGTGTAAAAGAAATACAAAATTTATATTAATTTTATTATCATTTTCACTTGGATAAATTTAAGGTTAAATGTTAATTTTGTTTG